TGTAAGAAAATTAGTATTTCTCGACTGACACTTGCGATTTAAGTGTCTGAAGGTGATTAATCTTCATCAATGAATGTCCAGTTGTAGAGTGAAAAAAACTTGTGACTTTAATTGTATAATGGAAAGTCACAGCATACAATGATATTGCAAAAATATAATATATAAATAGATAGTTCAAAATATATAGTAATGCAGAGTTAAAAAGCATGTCATCTCGTTCTGAGTCTTTACCTCCTGGTATGTTTCTCAGTATGTGGAGGGTTCAACCAAAATAGTCTTCTAGCAGGTGGAATAACAAAGTCTCTTGTTGAATGGGCGTGTTAGAATTCTATTCATGAGTATGCATAGTGTCATATAATGTAGTGTCAATGAAGTGTGTTGTGAGATTATGTAGTGTGTATGCGCCCCGAGTGTCTGTCCCCTGTCGCTTATATACCAAAATCGACGTTAACGATTGGTCTATCCTATAAGGCCATATACTCTGTAAGCATATTCTTAACTTATTTCTGACGTCACGACTACTATACTTCTCTATATGGTGCGACCAAAACTACTTAACTCATCATTTCTAAATGTCATTCTACAACTCTATTTAAAACACAGAACCTTGTTCTTAAACCACTCCCAAAACAGCTGCTTCTTTACTAGTTCTTTACATAGCTTCAGGTCTCAAGGGCAACCACTAAAAAGATATGTCTGTTCAAAGTCATACATCTTCATTTAAACGTACGAGGTTACTTGTAAATATATGTGCATGGGCCCATACTATGATTCCCTTTAAGCCAATTAAAATTTGAATCTAAGTATTTTACATGGATCCATTACCTCCTCTTATGGTGGATCCATTACCTCCTCTTATGGTGGCTCCATTACCTCCATTACCTCCTCTTATGGTGGATCCATTACCTCCTCTTATGGTGACTCCATTACCTCCTCTTATGGTGGATCCATTACCTCCTCTTATAGTGACTCAATTACCTCCTCTTATAGTGACTCCATTACCTCCTCTTATGGTGGATCCATTACCTCCTCTTATGGTACGCGCGGTTGATTACCGCAATCCGTCCGGGTGCTTTTCTTTGATTGCGGCTAATTGAACCTTGCGATAATCGGGGCGTTGTGGGGCCGCCGTACGACAATCGTGAGGTGTATGGCCTACCTTTAGGCTGGGTTCACACCTAGGCGTATCGAATATGCGCGTTTCGTGTAGCGCGATTCGCGGTTAAAAAAAACACGCAACAAACGCGCGTTACCGAGGGCTACTTGGCTGTATCCCAATGGAAACGCACGACAAAAACGCCCCAAAGGAGCTCCTGTACTTCTTTGGGCGTAGGGCGTTTTGTAGCGCGTTCATGCGGCCTGTAATACGCCCAGGTGTGAACCACACCCATAGGAAACAATGGGATTTCGGTGTTTGAGCGTTTTGCAGAGCGCAGGAACGCGCAGGTGTGAACCGGGCCCTCAGAGCTCCGGGTGGGATGAGATCTCCGGTCCTGGGGCCGGGTGTTGCCAGTGGCCAGGTTGGGCTGATCCGGTGGCTGAGAGGCACCTCATTAGGAAGCCAGCCCAGAGCTCAGTGTAGTGTTGGAGGTGGTGAGAGTTGCGTGTGTTCAGGAAGCACACGGACGCAGAGCACAGCAGACCCGGGTGCGTGCTGGACGCAGGAGGAGCAGTCGGGGGAGGCTGGGAGAGGTCAGGAAGGTTGGTGACCCTAGGACCTGTTGATGGAAAGAGAATTAATGGTGGACACATGACCTCCTGTGATGGTGGACACATGGCCTCCTGTGATGGTGAACACATGATCTCCTGTGATGGTGGACACATGACCTCCTGTGATGGTGAACACATGACCTCCTGTGATGGTGAACACATGACCTCCTGTGATGGTGGACACATGGCCTCCTGTGATGGTGAACACATGACCTCCTGTGATGGTGAACACATGACCTCCTGTGATGGTGAACACATGACCTCCTGTGATGGTGAACACATGACCTCCTCCTTGATAGATCCATGCATGTTGTGCTGGCAGTGTCCCGAGTATATGTCACCTGATCACAGTCCTCCGGTGTATGGACCCGATGGTACGTGACTTGTGTCTGGGGTGAGGGAAGTGTGTCCAGGTCCCTTTATAGAAGGACATCTGACCTCTGACCCCCGCTGGCTCCTAGACGCCTCTGTTTATCTTCTTCCTCTCCCAGGAACATTCTAGAAATGATTTCTCTCGTCTTTAATGCCGCTCATAAAACAGACCGATATCACGCCGGGCGGTGCCAGGACCGGAGGACAATGTGTGGACTGTTTTATGAGGACCATAAAGACGTTTGTTCCTCATTTATCTTCTCTCTCCGTCCACACCGAAATGTCACAACAATAAAACCAAAAATATCATCTCACCGAACAGCCGGTCCCTGAGGACAAACCGCCGGAGAGTCATGTGGTCGCGTCTGGAAGAAGGAACGTGGCTTATGTCATGGAGAACTCCACTGTGACCCTACTGTGGTAGTACCGGAGTCCGGTCCCTGCGAGGACTCAATGACACCATAGTCATCTATACGGTGCCTAACAGGGGACCAGGGGGCGCTTGTGCTTTTTCTTCCACAGCTTTGAGCTAGCCAAGGTGTAGACCCAGGACCATACAGGGACTCCCGGGACCACATAGCGACAGGGACACCCGGGACCATACCGAGACGGGAACAGTCTGAGCTGGTACATCCGGCACTTTTATTCAGGTCCGCCATTCTGACAGCTTGTCCTCAGCCAATTGATTAGCACCTGTAGAAGGAAGTCAGCAATGACGCCCCCCCCTCCCCCCTCCGTATGACATGACAGGTTTCCTTTAAATCAGTGGTTCTCAACCCGTGTAACCTCGGGACCCACATGTTTCCTTGGTCATTAAGGCGTGACACAAAACAACTTGTGCAGTATTCAGCAACATTATATATATATATATATATTTATAAACATTTTGAACAGTAAACAACTGAAAGTAAATGAATATCTGGACCAAACCCCTCTGTCCCCCGAATGGTCTTCATAATGCATGGCACGGCAGGGGTGTGTCTATTGCTTATATATAACTGGGGGTGTGGCAGGGGTGTGTCTATTGCTTATATATAACTGGGGGTGTGGCAGGGGTGTGTCCATTGCTTATATATAACTGTGGGTGTGGCAGAGGTGTGTCCATTGCCTATATATAACTGGGGTTGTGGCAGGGGTGTGTCCATTGCCTATATATAACTGGGGGTGTGGCAGGGGTGTGTCCATTGCCTATATATAACTGGGGGTGTGGCATGGGTGTGTCTATTGCCTATATATAACTGGGGGTGTGGCATGGGTGTGTCCATTGCCTATATATAACTGGGCGTGTGGCAGGGGTGTGTCTATTGCTTATATATACCTGGGGGTGTGTCTATTGCCTATATATAACTGGGGGTGTGGCATGGGTGTGTCCATTGACTATTTATAACTGGGGGTGTAGCAGGGGTGTGTCCATTGCTTATATATAACTGTGGGTGTGGCAGGGGTGTGTCTATTGCTTATATATAACTGGGGGAGTGTCAGGGGTGTGTCCATTGCCTATATATAGCTGAGGGTGTGGCAGGGGTGTGTCCATTGCCTTTATATAACTGGGCATGTGGCAGGGGTGTGTCCATTGCCTATATATAACTTGGGGGTGGGGCAGGGGGGTGTTACT